CACTGGGGATGGGGATGGGGCAGGGAGCTGGGAACAGACCACTGGGGCTGGGGATGTAGCAGGGGGCTGGGAATGGGCCACCAGTGCTGGGGATGGGCTACCCCCAGCTGCTGCCTTGTACCGAGCCCTGTCCCGGTTGGGTCTGCAGGGAGGGGTTCCCCGGGCTCTGCTGCTCTACTGGGGAGGGGGGTGGGTGCCAGGAGAGCCACAGCCTGTGCCCCGTGCCCGATGCCCACTGTCCCCTGGCAGGTTCGGGGCGGTGGAGGACAGTGCCGGGGCGCTGCGGCTCTACACGGTGCAGGTGCCCCACAAGCGGGAGCGCCGCCCCCCACCCTGCTACCTGACCAAGTGGGACGGGAAGAACTTCCTGCCGCTGCTGACACGGCCCTGCGGCTCCGAGGTCATCTCCTGCCTCTCCATCAGGTACCCCGGGGCCTGGGGGAGGAGGGGGGCTGTGGCAGCCCCAGCTCACTGCCCTCTCCCCACAGTGATTCGGGCACTTTCCTGGGGCTGGGCACAGTGACGGGCTCCGTGGCCATCCACATCGCCTTCTCGCTGCAGGTGAGCTGGGGCAGGGGTGTGGGGCAGCTCCAGTGCCCCCCAGCTGGCCTCTCACCCCCCTGTGCCCCCCAGAGGCTGTACTACGTGAAGGAGGCCCACGGCATCGTGGTGACCGACGTGGCCTTTGTCCCCGAGAGCCAGCCCGGGCGGGAGCTGCTGGGGGGCCACGAGGCCGCCCTGCTCAGCGTGGCTGTGGACAGTCGCTGCAAGCTGCACCTGCTGCCCACCCGACGTACGTCCTGGGGCTGCTGGGGGGCTGCTGGGGGGCTGCTGGGGGCTGGGGTGCCTCTACCCCTCCCGCAGCATGAGGGGGCTGCAGCCCCCCTTCACCCGTCTCTGCCCCACAGGCTCCCTCCCAGTTTGGCTGCTGCTGCTGCTCTGTGCCGGGCTCATTGTGGCCACCATCCTGCTGCTGCAGCTTGCCTTCCCGGGCTTCCTGTAGCCCCCCAGCCCCTGGAGGGGACCCCTCGGCGCCAGGAGCAACCCCCCGGCCTCGACACCCCCTCCCCACAGACTGTGAAACAGAAAAGGGACCAGCCCCGGCCCCACCCCCCCGCTGGTGTTCGGGGAGTGCAGGAGGGGCCGGGGAGCTGCCCGGGGCCCGGCCCACCGGGACTGTGCTGGCAGCGGGGCAGGGCCAGCCCTGGGACAGGGGGCCTGCCGGACACGGGGGTCCCCTGCCCCAGAAGGAGGGCGTCCTGCTGGCCCCCCGCCCCACTATGGCCATTAAACTGGAGCATGAAGGCAATGCTGTGTCTGTGCCTGGGGAGTGGGGCTGGTTTGGGCACGTTGTGCTGGTCTCGGTCTGGGAGAATGTGTGCCCTCGGGGGGGCCGTGCCGTGCCCTCGGGGGGCCGGGCCGTGCCCTCGGGGGGCCTTCCTGGAGCCCCCCACGGCGAGCAGGTGCTGGCACTGGCTGACCCAGGCCCTCGGTGGTGCTGGTGTGGGGGTCCAGGGGTCAATGCTGGGCTGGCCCGGTTGTACCTGGGGCCGTGGGGAGTTTAGGGGGGTCTCACCCACCGGGACGGCCCCGCCCGTGCCGTGACCACGCCCGCGTCTCGCCGCCCCGCTCAGCCCCGGTTGAGAAGCGCCGGATCCTGGTTGCCCCGGAGCTGCCCCGGGATGTCCCGCATGGTGCCGAACCCCCCCGGGAAGGGCAGGGCAGGGCCCGGGGCGGGCGGGGCCGCTCCTGGGCCCGGTGGCGGGGCCGGGACGTGGCGGCTACGTGGCCCCAGCGCGGGGCGGGCGGCACCGAGAGGCGAGCGGGGCTGGGTGAGTGGGCACCGGGGGCACCGGGCTGAGGGTGTTGGGGGGCGTGCACTGGGTGAGCAGCGCCAGCCGGTCCCGTGCGCGCCGCTGTCCCGTGCACCCTCCCGTCCGTGCCAGCGTGTCCCCGCCGCGCTGGGACCGGGGCAGCTCCCGGAGCCCCCGCCCCTCTCCTACCGCCGGTTTCCCACGGCCCCGGGACCCCGACCCGCCCAGAGACGCCCCCGGCCCTGCCACTCTCGTTCCGCTGCAGCCCGAGGTGGCGGGATGAGGAACCCACCGGTGACACTGACCGTGCTGCTGCTGCTGGGGCCGGTGGCACGGGCCGCCCCTAGGACGGGGGGGCACAGGTAGGGGGGTACAGGTATGAGGTACAGGGGTGGGGGACACAGGTATGGATGGTACAGGTACGGGAGTACAGGTGTAGGGGCACAGGTATGGGGGTACAGGTATGGAGGGTATGGGTATGGGGGTACAGGTGTGGGGGCACAGGTATGAAGGGTACGGGTATGGAGGGTATGGGTGTGAGGGCACAGGCATGGAGGGTAGAGGTGTGGGGGGCACAGGTAGGGGGGTACAAGTGTGAGGTACAGGTATGGGAGGCACAGGTGGAGGGCAGAAGAATGGGAGGACATAGTTAAGGGCAGGCAGAGATGTGGGGGTTCATATGGGTGTGGAGGCACAGGTGTGGGTGGGGTGCATGGGGGCCGATGGGCACCTGGGCATGAGGGGGGCACAGGTATAGAGGGGGTGTGTGGCTGTGGGTGGGCACAGGGGTCCGGGGGTGCATGGTGAGGGGTGGGACTAAGGGGGCTGTGGGGGCCATGGTTAGGGGGATGTCAGGCCAGCATGGGCAGCCCCCCCAGGGGCACAGGTAACCCCCCATCTCCTGGCCAGGCCTGAGCCCCCCCTGGCCACAATCCTGGATGCGTATCCCGACCTGCTGAGCCTGGAGTTGCCGCTGCTGCCGTGAGTGCCCGCCCTGGAGAGCCCCATGACACCGGGACCCCCACCCTGCCTGGGGCTGTGCATTGAGGGGGGGACAGCAATGGGGAGGGGGTCCGGGCAGTGCCCACCTGCTCATGGGACAGGGTGGGCCATGGGGCATGGGCAGTGTTGCCCACCCCTGTCCCTGCTCCCCCCAGGCTGCTGCAGGGCGCGGTGCGGAGCCTGGGGCTGCCGGAGCAGGACGTGGAGGCCATGCCACAGGAGCAGGGTGAGGCCATGCGGTGTTATGGGGAGCTGAGGGGCTGGTGGGGTCAGGGACCCCAGCCCCATGGTGCCTCTGTGCCCCACAGCCCTGCTCTACCTCATCGTGCTCCATGACCATGACCGGAATGGGCACCTGGATGGGCTGGAGCTGCTGCAGCTGCTGGGCACTGTGCTGGCACAGGCTGGGGGGTGGCCGGACCCCGACACGGTGGGTCCCACAGGGATGGTCCCTTGCACCCCACAGAGCCCCCAGGCCAGGCCCTCACCCCCATCCCCTGTCCCTGTAGGTGGCTGCTCTGGTGGACCGAGCCCTGGAGAGGCAGGACCGCAATGGGGATGGGCTGCTGGACCCCCACGAGCTGCTGTCACCTGACCGAGGCCAGGGACCCCTGGGGCAACCCCCCCTGGAGCCACAAGCAGGGTCTGAGGCTGTGCCTGAGGAGGGCACAGAGATGCTCAGGGGGCACCTGGGGGTGAGCAGCCCAGGGCAGGCAGCCCCTGAGACTGGAGCTGCACAGGCTGGAGCCCCTGAGGATGGAGGCATGGAGGGGGACGAAGCCCCCAAGGTGGAATCCCCCAGTGCTGAGGCTGTGGAGGCAGAAGAAGCCCCCGAGGCTGAAGCCCACAATAGTGATGTGTCTGATGAAGAGGAAGTCCCTGAGGCTGAAGCCCTGGAGCAGGAGGCAGCCCCAGCATGGAGGGACTCTGGGGAGGGGTAGATGGTGGGGGGCTGTGGGCAGGGCTGAGTGGGGCAACGCCCTGGCTGCTTCCTGACCTGCTTGGGGCACAGAGTGGTGGGGGGGTCCCTGTGCCCCCCACCCTGCATCCGGACTGGGGGGCTGGGGCACTGTGGTCATGTGGTCTCCCCTGTAATGCATCAGACAGAGAAATAGAGGCTGCTGGTGGCCCTGGCCATGGTCAGTGGACCCCTGGGGCAGTGGGACCCTGGCCAGGGCAGGGTGGGCATAGCTGTCGTGGGGCACGTGGAGCTTTATTGGGGGAGGTGCTGCGTGCAGTGGATACGTGGTGCTCCTGGGTGGTGAGGGGGTCTCCAGGCACAGGCTCAGATGATGCCATCGAAGCCCTGGATCCCGCATTTCCTGCCTGCGATCCGGCAGCCGAAGGTGAGGGCATCCTGCAGGGTCCTCCCTGGGGACGGGGCCCAGGATGAGACGTGGCCGCGCTGTGTCTGCAGCGCAGCTGTGCCATAGCTGTGCCAGGCTGAGCCATGGCCACACCGTGCCCGTGCCGTGTCCGTGCCCACCTTCTGCGAGCGCGAAGATGACAGCGGCGTTGAAGGTGTCCCCTGCCCCCAGCGTGTCCACGAGGGTCTCTGGGGGGAAGGCGTCGGAATGCACCAGCTTCCCGTCGGGCCCCACGGCGTCGGCCCCCTCCTCGGCCCAGGCGCAGATCAGTGTGGCCCTGGGGGGGTGTGGGGTGTGTGGGGGGCTCACCATGCACTCCCCAGCCCTCCCGGCCCCCCATGCAGCCCCCATACCCTGACTGGATGCGCCCCCGCAGCCCCCGCAGCGCCTCAGGGGCCGAGCGGTACCCGAAGTGCTGGGCCAGGTCCTTGCTGATGAACACCTGCACGAGAGGGGCTGGGGCGGGGGGCAGCCCCCGGCTCCCCCAGCCAGGCAGGGATGGACCTGGATCCTAGGGCTGCCCCCAGACCCCAATCACACCCCCAGATCCCGACGACACCCCCAGACCCCAATCACACCCCCAGATCCCTTACACCCTTAGACCCCAGTCACACCCCCAGATCCCTTTACACCCCTAGACCCCAATCACAACCCCAGATCCCTTACACCCCTAGACCCGAATCACACCCCCAGAGCCCTTACACCCCCAGACTCTGACTCCCTTACACTCCCCAGACCACAATGGCACCCCCACGCTCTGACCACACTCCCAGACTCCGACTGTGCTCCCCAGACCTTGGGTACACCCCCAGACCCCACCCCTGCACCCCTCGAGCCCGGGTCGCGACCCCCAGCCCCCCTGGCCCCACCCCAGGGTGCGGCCGCCCCTTGGCCCCGCCCATGAGCCGTAAGTCCCGCCCCGCACCACTTGGCCCCGCCCCATCAGCGGCAGCAGCTCCTCCCGGGGCTTCTCCACTTCCACCGAGATCCGGACCCGCTGTCCCGGTGCCGCCGCCCGGTTGTGCCGCTCCACCCGGTCCAGCATCGCCTCCTGCTCCGCCGCGTTCCGGGCCTGCGGGCACGGGCACGACTCCGCCACCGCCGGGGGTTCGCCGGCCCCGGGGAGCCCCCCACTCCCGGGATGCTCCGCCCTCTCGGGATGCTCCCCAGCCCGAGCGGTCCCCCCAGCCCCGGGCTCACCCACAGTTCCAGGGAATCCGCCTCCGGCCCCGGGGGTCCCTCTAGCCCCAAGGGTCCCCACAGCCCCAGGCTCACCTCAAAGTGAATCCACTTGTACTGGGAGAGGTCGACCCGCTCGAAGTCGCGGGCCGTCACATCAGGCAGGTTCCTGCGGGACGGACGCCAGGTGGGGCAGGGGACCCCCAGCCTGGCACGCGGCCGGGGGCGAAGGGCAGTGCCAGGGGCTGTGCAGGGCCCCACGCCGCCGGGACAGAGGTCCCAGGGGTGACACTGCCCGGGTGAATCATTAATTGATGGCATCTGGGACCCTGAGCTCGACTCGAAGGGCAGCGCAGCGGTGGCCAGGCCGGGGCCGCGGTTCAGCGATGCCCAACAGCCCCTGACCCTCCGGCACGGCCGAGAGAGCACCGGGCAGGTGCCATGGCGGTGCCAGGTGTCCCCACGGGGCCGTGCCCGCTGCCCCGCGCCCCAGAACGTGTGGCTGTGTGGGGATGTCACCGCCAATGCCGGCGGCGGCACAGGCGGTGAACGGGGGGCTGCGGGGACTACTGGGGGGGCTACAGGGAGTCAGGCAGCGGGACCCGCGCCTGTGTAACCCCGAGCTGGCACAGCCCGGCTGCCCGCAGGTGCCGGGCCCTTACGTGTCGTGCAGGACGATGGTGCGGGAGCCGCTGGAGGCGTTGACGATGCAGCAGGCGCAGGGCACGTCCCCGCGGGTCTGCCAGACAACGTGCGCCGTGTCCACCCCCCGGCGCTGGAAATCCGCCGCGATGAAGCTTCGGGGGACAGAGAGCGGGGTGAGGCGCCCGCACATCCCCGGGAGGGGTGGGACGGTGCGGGTGCCCCGGCGGGCGCCGGTGGTGACGGCGGGGGCAGGCGGGCAGCGGGGGGACCGCGGCAGCGGCATCGCGCCGCGGGTCGAGGCTGCCGGTGGAGTAACACGGAGAGGCCGATGGAGTGTCAGGGCGGGTCGGCCCCGTGCCCAGTGCTGGGGGGTCCCCGCACCCCACTTACTCGGCGGCGGGGCCGGGGGCCAGCGAGCCCATGAAGGCGCAGGGGGCTCCCAGCAGCGCCAGCACCGTGCAGGAGTTGGAGGCGTTCCCGCCCCGCTGCCACCGCTGCGACACGCACCTGCGGGGGACAGGAGGCTGCGGTGGGCGCGGGGCCGGCTCGGGAGGCACCGGTGGAGCCGCCCCCGTTGGCGGTACCTGGTGTCGGAGTCCTCGGCCGGGAAAGTCTCCACCACGCTGATGATGTCCAGGCACACCAGCCCCACGCACAGGATCCGCCGCTCGCCCGCGGCGCCGCCCGCCCGCGCCGCCATCCCGGACCGCTGCGGGACTGGGAACGGGAGCGGGATCGGGACGAGGACCGGGCACAGTCCCGGGACCGCCGGCCTGGCCACGCCCCCGGACACGCCCCCGCCCCCCCGCACCACCAATCAGCGCCCGCTACCGCGCCGGGCCCTCGGTGGGCGGGGCGAGAGGTGGGCGTGGTCATGTGGGCCACGCCCCCCGTGCACCCCGGCCGCGCCCCGGGTTCACAGACCGGGCGGGAAGGGACAGACAGACACCCCCGTACACTCACCCCACACCCACACCCCACACACACCCACCCCCCTCACCCCACACCGACAAACATGTCCAGCACGTGCGCCCTTTGGACACACGGACACACGGACAGGGACACACGGACACTCTGTGTGGGAGCCCCCGGTGAGGGACCGGGACCTGCCGACCCTTTGCGCAACAAAGGGCCCGAGGACCTGTGGCCCGGCCAGCTGAGGGACACCCGGGGACAGCGGGAGCTGAGCGTTTGGGCACAGCCGGGTGAGGCACCCTCGGAGGCAGCAGGAGCCGAACATTCCAGACTTTCCCGTGCTCAGACTGCGAGGGGATAAATGCTCAGGGGTTCCTTTGTTCGGGGTCCCTCCTTGGAGGCACCGGCTAGAGCTGTTTTGTTTTTTTTTTTACTTGGTTATTGCATCGAGATTAAATCATTTTAAGGACTGAGACGTCTGAGACTCTGCGATGGGAAGGCTGGGACTGAGCTGGTGAGGGGAACTGGTCTGACGGGGCAGTGTGGGGGGTGCAGCTGTGAAGGGGCCTCGGTCCCAGCTCAGGTGGGGTGGGTGTGGCTGCTGGAGCAGCTCCGGGATGGTCGGACAAGGAAGTTTCTTCAACAGTTTGGCGACCCAGGTGCGGCCCCGGGCCACCCACTTTGGAGCCTCCCTGCTCCAAACCCCCACCTGCTGGCACCGGGTGAGCTCACCGGGATCTTTGGAGGAGCCAAAGGGATTGTTGAAATTCCCTGAGCAGATTCAACGTCAGTGACCGAGGTTTGTTATTAAACTGCTCCGACTCCCTCAGTCTCTCCGTGGGTGCAGCATTTTGTAGGGTCGGGGGAGTCCCTGCAGGGGCTGAGTGTGGGAGCGTGGCCTGAGCAGCGTGAGGGGAAATGGGGGGGTTGGGGGTTTGCCCGAGGCATGCAGGGGGTTGGGATCCCTCGTAAGCCACGCAGGGAGTTGAAGTTAAGGGGGGGTTATGACTATTTTTAGCACGTCCAGCACAGCAAAGGGGATGCTCTTGGCCAAGGTTGTGCAATTGGGAACGTTGGGGATGATTTGAGGCTTCACTGACCCTGGGAGAGAGAGAGAGAAAAGATTGATGGGAGAGTTGAAGCATTTGAGAAGATTAAGAGGGAAACTGTTTAAAACCCTGGGCTCTGTGTGTGCTACAGACGGTGTTTAACGTCTGGTGACTCCCTTAAAGCGCTTCAAGAGTTTCTTTTGCAGCAAAGAGCCGGTTGGTGCCCAGACACAAACACCCGGGGAAGGAGTTGGTCACTTGAGGTCGCTGTTGTGTGCGCGTGGGATCTCCTCAAAAAGAGGGATCCAGGGACATCCAGAGGCACCTCAGCTCCGGCCCGTGCTGTTTGTACCTGTTTGGAGGGGTTGTTGGGGTGTGAGGTTGAAATCCCACGCCAGGAGCGGGTTCTCCAAACCCGCGGGTTTGGGGTGTGTGTGAGATCCCTGTGCTTGTAATAGTGTGTGTTTCTAAAAAAAATATTCCTAAAAACACATTTTCCTACGTGTACGTTTCTATTGGGTAAGTGGATGGTGAAGAATGCAAAAGAATGGGTAGAACTGCTGTGATTGTTCCCAAGGAATTACTGTGTTCTGTCTGCAACTGGAGGCTTCCCCTGGGCCTGGTTTGCTACTTGGGCCCGGCAGGAGGAGACTGTTTGAATTTTCACCTTAATGTTATTTATATTAAGTAACATTATGTATAAATATTTATATTAAACACTTTCATTTCCTTCCAGGAGGACGATCTGCAGAGTCCTGCCCGAGCAGGAGAGGGGTTGTGGTGCCCCATGGTTTGTACGGCCCCTCTGGGGAGAAGGGAAGGAAAAGGCTTTTGCTACTTTAAAAAAAAAAAAAAATA